GGTTAGATCCAGTGACGAGACAAAGTGTTGTGAGTTCAATACGAGGCCACAGCAGTGATGGACCAAAAACTGTGAGAACTGAGTCAAAGGGAAATACCTGAGAAACCTGGAAGAGGCGTAGCACGTGGAACGAGAACCGTCTACTCCGGTGGTGGAAATAAGAGTTCGGTTCGAAATTCCAATCACTTGTAGAAGGCTGTAGCCTACAACAGCTGAAACGTTGTGAATATGGTAATGAAGATGAGAAAACCAGTCCGAATAATGTAAATAATGAAAAAAAGCATTATCTTGACGATCTGAAAAAGATATACGAAATATATAGGCTAGGAGAATTTAACCCTTACATGATATATGGACATTAGGTACCAGGAAATAGCGATTAAAGTATTAATCATGTTTGTATAAATGGCTGGAAGGCAGGGGACTGTGAGAGATTGTAACTGGGCTGAAGTTGCTTGGCTCTTCCGCGAATAGGAAGTTGCCTTAGGACATGGCCGCACACTTGCTGAAGAGACACACCATGTAGAAGAAGCCATTGGTGGTAGTTTCGATCAGGTCCTTCAGAGACTCCCTACCAAAGTGGACAGTCCACTTCTGTGTGCCAGTCTGGTTAGATAGGAAGAGATAAAGGAAGAAAGAAGACTGTTAAGATATACGAATCCTGGAATGAGATCCTAGCTGGATGATGTGAGTTGAAATCAATATGATCGTGAGATTTTTTTTGGACCTTTTAGAAACTTCCAAGACGGAGAGAAATCTGTTGCACCAACGAAATGCAGTCTGGGTCACTTCCTCTAAATGGAATTGTTGTTGAGGCTCAGTGTGTTCCTCCCAAGTTTCGGTAAACACCGATATTTACGCCGCTCACTCTAGCGGTAGGTTCAAAGCTAGCGTCCAGCTTCCAGACAAAAATAAACAGAGTCGTAACTTAATACGAAACTCTTTAACAGTGCACGTCACCACGGTCCCAGCTGCACTCTCAACCAAAATGTCCCAGACCGGTTTTATAGACCAAAAATACGGCCAACGCACCAATCATCGCCGTTGGCCTCGTTCTCAATTAGAGACCCCAGCTCGTCTAATCAGCATGCAGACCGCCACTAGACAAATCGCATCAAGCAGCATAAAACAAACAAATGTCGGTGAATGTACTTTTCTTAGACCAAAATTGCGAGAGGAAAGGATGTAGCTGACGGAATGACGAACTGTCTTGCTTGGTTTTATGCACATATCCATCATAAAACAGCAGCCCGACAAGCAAAATATCTTGGACGCTTCGAATCCGGTAAGTGTGAATATGTATCGTCACAGGAATGCCGTATATACTCATGTATAAGTCGATCTGAATATAAGCTTCACTCATTATCTTATATTTGAGAATGGGACAAATTTCAAACCCCGAGTATAAATCAGAGTATTTAATCAACACATTATGTTTGGTTTACGTGGTTTTGTAAATTTTCACTTTCCTTCCTTTTATTAGATATATTCCGTAGGTAACAAGATTTTATTTAACATAAGAAATCGAATGAAACACAAACATGTTTGAAAAACAAACATGGAGACCATTTAAAGTCCAACGAGTGGATCCATTATTGCGTATTTACCAAAGGTTTAAAAGGTACTAAAGTTAGGATGTTACTAAAGATTTAAATAGCGACTAACTTTACGAAAGTGAGTAAAGTTTTAAATCGTTACTAAAGTTACTAATGTTACGACACATGGCACAGTGGATAAAGGCGTTGGTTAGATCCAGTGACAGGACCCAAAGAGTGGGAATTCAATACCCGGTTAAGGCAGTGGAGAACTTTCAGAGGGAAATTAACAGGAGATAACTGATAACTGACATCCATCAAACATGGCACGTGCAACTAGAACAGTCTACCCAAGTGAGCGAAATAAAGTGTTCAGTTCGACATTCCAACCACCTGAAGAAGGCCGGAGCGTACAACGGCCGAAACGTTGTAATAAATATGGCGACAAAGATGAAGACAGTAGTCCGAATAATGTACATAATGTACATAATACCTCATCTCAGAAATATAGACAGACTCTGTTACGAAGTAACTAAATATACAAAAATAAACATTTAAATAGTTACTAAAGTTACGAAATTACCAAAGATTTAAATAGTTGCTAAAGTTACTAAATTTACGAAGCTGTTACAGACTAAAAGAGCTACTAAAGTTACTAAATGTACGAAGTAGATCTAATTTGTTAGTAAAATTAATAAAGTTACAAAGTTACTATTGATTTAAATAGTTACTGCTACGAGGTTAATAGAAAATAAAATTTTTACTAAAGATACGAAGTTACTAATGATTTAAATACTTAAAATACTAAAGATTTACATAGCTACTAGAATACCTAAAGTTACGACGTTACTAAAGTTTTAAATATTTACTAAAGTTATGAAGTTACTAAAGATTTAAATATTTACTACATTTACAAAGTGTTATAAAATAAAATAAGATGTATCTCAGCTAATTTGCAAGCAAATAAACTACCGAGAACCGGATGTGATCGGGACAAGGCCCCGTCACAAATTGACCATTATCGTCGTTTACGCATATTCCCGACGCACGAGTTCCGGCTGAAAAATAAAATAATATTTTAAAGTGTTTCTATTTTTCGACCATTAAAAATGCTTCCCTCCTAATTATACTGTTAAGCCATAAAAAAAAACACCATAAAAAGGGTCTCACAGGAAGTACAACGTCAACAGGAGGCCAGGGAAGAGACCTGTCACGGTCAGGCTGAGCGACCAGAAAGCAGCCAGCTGCAGTAGCGCCACGCCAACCAGCGAGAACTATCAACCTAGATCTTCAGCCGGCCTATGAACTATACCACAAGATAGATGTCCCCAAACCACACGTTCCTATAGAAATAAATCACGTAAATCTATTTCTACTGTTGTCGTATTTCTTTCTTGCAATTATACGCTTGTCTATAACAAAAGTTACTAAATATTTAAATAATTACGAAACTTTCGAAGTTACTAAAGATTTAAATAGTGAAATTAATGCCAATACATTTTGCAATAGGCAAATAAACGTTTGTGCTACAGGAAAAGTAAACATAAATAAAGAATATTAATGCAACAAATAGATTGTAAAATGCTTCTAAAATGTAAGTTAAAACAGTGTTACGTTGGAAAGCAATCACTTCAGATATGTTGGCGCTCTTTTTTAATACTTGTTTGCCCAGTTCTTTGAGGACACGTCTTTTAATAGCTCGACCTTTTTTCGAACTTGTTCTGAATAACCTATCTTTTCAGATAAATGATGACGAAGATCAAACAAACAGAAAATGAAAAGACACGCTTTAATCGTTGTCTTAAAGGCAGTGCATAGTGATTTATAGATTAATCATTTGCTGGAAATTGCACGGTTGTTTGATGTTAAAGTTCGCAAAGAGCTGAAAGCATCGGGATTCGACATCAGTAGCCAAACTTAAAAGACATGCTAAGGGTCCTAATACAATCAGAACATCCAACTTTGTAAGAAAGATTCAGAGAATTATCGATAGGAATCAGAGAAAGTGAATTAATAACATTGCTGATAAGATCAAGGTTTCAAGGCACACTATCAAATGAATTGTTCAAGAGGACCTTCAATAAAAGTCCTATGTGATAGGGGAAAGACAGTTCATGTCTGCAAAGACAAAAGACAACAATCTGACCCACACAAAGCGATAGTTGAGCTATATTGAAACGTCAAGTGTCTGGAATACTTTGGCTTTTTTTTCCGAAGAGAAAAACTCTGATCAAAACTCGATTTTTTAGGAGGAAGGAGTGACTTATGTGGGTGTGTACGATTTTGATTCTTGTTAGTGTGACATTTTTTTCTTGAGTGACTGGTACTGTGATGTTGTACAGTCTGAATAGGTTTTATTTGATATAGTTTGTTGTTTGTGTTTGTATTCCATGATTTTGTCATTGGTTGAGGATGTAAGAGTTAATTGTGACTTTGAACTCTTTAAAGAGGATTTTTGAATTTGATATATTCATTGAGGTGGATTACTTGGCAGCATATTATCAGTTGCTGACACAAGAACATACTTAGAAACTCGTTTGAAATAAGCTTTGTCATTGACGTCTTTGTTCTGTTTCCTGTCTTCTTCTTCTTCCTTCTCCTCCTCCTCCTCTTCTTCTCCTCCTCCTTTTTCTTCCTTCTCCTCTTCCCTTTCTTCTCCTCCCCTCCTCCTTTTTCTTCCTTCTCCTCTTCCCTTTCTTCTCCTCCTTCTAATCCTTTTTCTCTTCTTCTTCCTCCTCCTCCCCCTCTTCTCCTCCTCCTCTGCCTTCTTCTTCTCCTTCTTGTTCCTCCTCCTCCTCCTCCTCCTCATCATCATCATTCTTCTTCTTCCTCCTCCCCCTCCTCATTCTTCTTCCTCCTCCTCCCACTCCTCATTCTTCTTCTTCTTCCTCCCCCTCTTCTCCTCCTCCTTCTACTCCTTCGTGTTCCTCCTCCTCTTCTACTCATCCTCCTCCCCTTCTTCTTCTTGTTTCTCCTCCTCCTCATTCTTCTTCTTCCTCCTCCTTCTCCTCTTCTCCTCCTTCTTCTCCTTCTTGTTCCTCCTCCTTCTTCTTCTCCTTCTTGTTCCTCCTCCTCTTCTACTCATCCTCCTCCCCTTCTTCTTCTTCTTCTCATCTCCTTCTTCTTCTCGTCTTCCTCTGTGAGGAAAATAGTGAAGAATAAAGAATTTGAAATTTTGCTCGCCGATTCCACATTCTGTGGCGATAATCATTGCATTGACCGCACAACTTGTAGGAAGGTAGCTTGCGAAATATTTATTAAAACAAAGACATAAGACTGAAGACGTTTCCAATATACTTAAGACATGAAGGAATCAGGAATATAGGATTCCATTTGTGATGGATGAGTGTAAGAGACAGAAAATGAAGAAATTGCTTGCAAACAAATTCATAAATGAACACAGAAGAAAACATTCATTAGAAAAAACAATGCGAAGGATAACTCTATGAAAGACGACAACATGCATCAAAGTGCAGAGCAAGCTAGGCGATATTGGATTACTGACACTCGAAGGAAAGAAGAAAAGAAGGGAGTAAGGAAGGAAAGAAGGAAGGAGCTAAGGAAGGAATGAAGTAAAGAAAATAGTAGTAAAGAATGAAGTAAAGAAGGAAAGAAGAAAGGAAGGAGTTAAGGAATGATGGAAGTGAGTAAGTAAGGGAGGGAGGAAGGAAGGAATTAAATAATGATGAGAGTAAGGGAGGAAAGAAAGAAGGAAGGAAGGAATGAAGGGAGGAAGGAAGGAAGGAAGGAAGGAAGGAAGGAAGGAAGGAAGGAAGGAAAGAAAGAAAAATGGCAGTAAGGAAGGCAGGAGAGAATTAATGAAGAAAGGAGGTAAGGAATCATGGAAGAGAGTAAGGAGGGGGGAAGTGAAGAATGTTGGCAGAGGGAAGGAAAGAAGGAATGAAGCCAAGAAGGAAGGAGATAAGGTAGGAAGTAAGTAATTTAAAAAAAAGGAAGGAAATAAGGAAGGAAGGAATGATCGGAGTAATTAAGGAAAGATGGAAGTAGAGAAAGAAGAAAGTAGGAGTACGGAAGGAAAGATGTAAAGAAGGAAGGAAGAAAAGGAGGTAAGGAATGATGTAAGTCAGTAAGAGAGACGGGAAGAAAGAAATTAAATAATGAGTGGAATAAGAAAGAAAAGAAGGAAGGAGATAAGGAAGGAAGGAAGGAAGGAAGGAAGGAATTAAAGATTGATTGTAGTAAGGAAGGCACAAAGTAAAGAAAAAAAGAAGTAAGAAAGGAAGGCGGTAAGGATTAATGGGAGCAAGTAGTGAAGGAAGGAAGGAAGGAAGGAAGGAAGGAAGGAAGAAAGGAAGGCAGGAAGGAAGGAAGGAAGGAAGGAAGGAAGGAAGGAAGGAAGGAAGGAAGGAAGGAAGGAAGGAAGGAAGGAAGGAAGGCAGGAAGGAAGGAAGGAAGGAAGGAAGGAAAAAAAATGAAAGTAATGAAGGAAGGAAGAAAGGAAGGCAGGAAGGAAGGAAGGAAGGAAGAAAGGAAAAATGAAAGTAATGAAGGAAGGAAGAAAGGAAGGAAGGAAGGAAGGCAGGAAGGAAGGCAGGAAGGAAGGAAGGAAGAAAGGAAAAATGAAAGTAATGAAGGAAGGGAAGAAAGGAAGGCAGGAAGGAAGGAAGGCAGGAAGGAAGGAAGGAAGGAAGAAAGGAAAAATGAAAGTAATGAAGGAAGGAAGAAAGGAAGGAAGGAAGGAAGGCAGGAAGGAAGGCAGGAAGGAAGGAAGAAAGGAAGGCAGGAAGGAAGGAAGGAAGGAAGGAAGGAAAAATGAAAGTAATGAAGGAAGGAAGGAAGGAATTAAAGATTGATGGTAGCAAGGAAGGCACAAACTAAAGAAAGAAAGAAGTAAGAAAGGAAGGCGGTAAGGATTAATGGAAGTAAGTAATGAAGGAAGGGAGGAAAGAAAAAAAGAAGGAAAGAAATCCTATCCACATATTCAACAAAGAGTTTCGAAATTCAAGAAATGCTCAATGCAAGAGAAAACAAATCGTTACTTATTTATCTGAAAGTTCTGATTGTTAATGAATGATAACTGTATTTCTAGACATCATTTCCAGACCTAATTTCCAGTTCTCTGAAATATCTTGGCATTGCGATTTGTTACAAAAAATACCACCAACCGAAACTAACGGGATGGGAAAGATTTTCAGAACAGAAAGTCATTCTTCTCTGATGACTGAATATTTTCAATGCTTTAAATGTGTATAATTAGTGTCTAAGCATAATGTAGAAATCTGCCTCCAACAAAGAAGTTTGTAGGAAAGGTTTATAATAGCGTGGGACTGTTTCAGCTCTCAAGCTGAGAGGGCAGCCATTCACTTCAATGAATGAAGCAATAGTTTTTACTAGTAAAAGAATTGTTCATTCAGCTTACAGCTTCTTTCGACATAATCCAGCAATATATCTGACTAGCAGTAGAGCCCGGCGTTGCCCGGGGATGTAACAGTAAGAGATAGATCAAGTATCGACCATCATAAAGACTGAAAAATAAAAATGACAAAGATTATTGTTTAAGGTTGACAGACATGCATGTCTTAATTAGTTTTTTTTTTTTTTTTTTACGAATTGGTCAAACCCAAATTCAAGCAAAAACATTGTTTACAATCGTTATGAGTCTATCGATTGGTGAATAGAATTTTATTATAAACAATTGTCTTGTAAATGGAATTTTTAAAGCATTCTGAATGTAAATAAAGAAAAAAAGTGTGCAAGACAATAAGAAATACTACCTGCCGAAAAAAAAAATGGTATGTTTGTTTTATCGGCTGAAAAATTTAAAAAATCCGATCCCATATATAAAGGAACACACACACACACACACACACACACACATAAACAACCTGGGTTTTTAACCTAAGTCACTCCACGGAAACGCTAAAACATAGAGCATAGTCTGATGAAAAAGACGCCAAAGTTTATGAAAACAAAATTTTATCGTCAAAATGCTTATGTTTTTTATGAAGAGGACAGACTAAATTTTTTTAATTATTTTAAAAATTTTCCCATCTTTTAGAATATTCTAAATTTTGATTTAAAAACTTGTTTCTCTTTGTCGCAACAAGGGGTAGTAAATAACAGATCATTTTTAGCGCGTTTTTTTGTATTTACACATTAATTTGGAAAATCTTGCAAAAATAAAAATAATTGTCAGATGTTAATGAAACTGTCAGAAACTATTCACAGATGATCGAAATTATTATAAATATGTTTTTTTTTATTAAAGTCATGGCAGAAATATTTTTTTATATTTATTAACACCCCATAACTAATTTTATGAAAAACTCTAGAAATTCAGGACCATCGGTTTTAGTGATTACAATAGTTAAAAGCACAAGGCTTTGAAGAATGCAAATCATGTTTTGTTTTTTGTTTTTTTGGCCAACGTACCTGAAAATCAGATGTGAATTGTAACATACAAAATTCAATAAAACAAATATATTATTTAGTTTCAAATGCTTTTATTTGTTTTAATTTTTTTTATGAATATGGACAATATTTTTGAAAGCAAAAATTTTTTTCAATGAAAATTGAATTTTTAATACAATTATTTCTTATTTCTTTAATTTTAAAAAGATTTTTAAAAAATGTTTAAATTGAATTTTAAAAATATTTTAACATTAGTTAAAAAGCAACATCAACCTTTCAAAATGTCCGTGTGAGATTGTCATTGTGTAGCGCTTTGAAAATTGTATAATTTGGACCAATCAGATTAGCCATGGTAATTAAGAAATGTAATTTTTGTGTTTATAGTCGGACAGTAATTATCAAGTACGGAAGACCAACCAGAATACAATTTAGTTGCATTATTTGAGTTCAGCATTGTTCTCCGCTGTTAAGCCCTTTACTTTTGCGAAACACGTATGGAGAAGTTAATTTGAGTTTTCAATTTCAACTGAGAAGGGTACCTACAAGTAACAGTATCATCTTATGAAATTTAACTACTGCTAAACTTTAATTTATATGATCTTATTTTTATATAATCTCAGTTATGACATTTTTCCATAAATGAAATATCAAAATTAATAATAAAATGAATGGAAATACAAATAACACAGTAAAATGTAATAAATGTACATAAAATTATAGTATTTTATGTACACTTCTGATAAAATTTCATAAGAAAGTTACCTAAATTAATTAGATACCTTTTTCTTATGAAATTTAATCTCACTATTAACAGTCTTATTTTTTAATTTCTTTATATTTTCCATAAAGCATCGTAAAAGTAAAAATGAAAGCTAAGTACAAAAAAAAAAAAAAAATAAAAAATTAGAGCGCTAAAAGTTTTCCTTAAAAGTAACAAGGTAAATAATTTGTTCACTTAAATAATTTCACTTCCTTCCATCCGTAGAAAGAATTCTCCTCCCGTAAGTTATCTAAACGTCATGAATGTGCCTTTCGTCAATCGTCAAGCGACGCGAAAGTTTATGACCTGCTTTGTTTTAGTTTCAAATTACATTTTTTCGGCGCAGAAGCTAAGTTAAGCTTGGTTCAAAATATTTTAAATAAACAGTATAATTTCTGTTTTATTTAAAATCAGTTTTGAAAAAATGATAATTGATTTTTAAAAGAATATCAAAGTAAGATTTTAATCTTTTTTATCAAATCGAAAAAAATGATTGAAAATGATTATCTGTCCTTTTTTTTTACCAAAAAAAAGATATTTTTAACGAAAATTTCAGCCGCGCTAGGAAAGATTAAAAAATGTAAAAAAATACCCCCAAAATACTTTGATCTTTCCTCTTTAATAATAATATGAACATTAGACGATAAAATTTTGTTTTCGTCAAGTTCGGCGTCTTTTTCATCATGCTATGCTCTTTTGTTTACATTTTCGTGGGTGAGTTGTCCCCCTTTCGTTCTCACGATGTGTCTTAATCGTGTTTTCAAAATGATTTTATTAAAAACCAACTGTGTTTTTCCCATTTTCGGCCCCGTTAGAACCACCACAAGGTAATTTTATGTAGTCCTGTGAAGTTTTGTTGAAATCGGCTAAAAAATGTAGGAAAATCGATCCAACATATAAACGTTACAGACACACACACACACACACACACACACACACACACACACACACACACACACACACACACACACACACAATCTGCGTTTTATAATAAGTAAGATTTCAAGCATAAGTGACCTTTTTGTTTTCATTCTTTATAAAGTCGTAAAATCTTACATCACTGCATTTGAGGCATGTCTACATTAACCGTCAATATTAACTCTCACTCTACTCTCTCTCTTTTTCTCAGCCCAGAGTATGTCCATCACATAATAATAAATTGAAAATAGACTAATAGGTATTATAAACTTTGAAAACTAAATGATGTTTGATTTCTCGTGGATTATTTTTACATGGTGTTTTGCCATTTGGAAACACATTTTATTGCAAACTTATCTCAGATAGATAGATAGATAGATAGATAGTGAAGAGATCAGATAGATAGATAGATAGATAGATAGATAGATAGATAGATAGATAGATAGATAGTGAAAGAGATTGGGATATATATATATATATATATATATATATATATATATATATATATATATATATATATATAAATAAATAGATAGATAGTGAAGAGATGAGATAGATAGACAGATAATCAAGATAGATAGATAGATAGATAGATAGATGTTTATAGACACTATGAAAAAACAGCGGGAAGCAACCGTAGATTTCTTAATATTAAAATTTTATTTTGGCCTTGACATTTTTTATCATTTTATTGGTTGTTGAATCTGTGTTAATCGAATATGTTTATTTTCTTATGTTAGCTAACTCTACAACGGTACTAGTACCTTGTAACACAGTGCTATGTGCTGTATGGTCGAATCATCAGCATATCAACTGATTCAGCCAGCAGACCTTTCTTGTGATGAGTGTTACTTAAAATCCAGCAGGATTAATAAACGAGTCTTGTCTATAGGCAGATGAAGAGGGATGGGTTTTGCCCTGTCTACTGGCCTAAGACACGCTGGAATTTGAACTCGACTCTATGATTGCTCATTCTGGGCCGTCATCCATTACGCCACCTTCTCATCCAAGTTTACAACACTTGGTATTTCTAAGCGGTCATCTGGCTTGACGTTGTTTAACTTCGATGATATTACGAGAATCGGTGTATCAGCATGATATGTTGCAGCTTAAAGGAAGTAAACACTCATAAATTTACAATCTTAAGTTGATTAAATTCTTTTCTACTATTAGATGTGACGGGAAATATATAAATGATTACACAACGGTAATTATTATATGGGTTGATAATAAATATGTCTTAAATATTTCAGATTCAGTGGAAAGTGTCATGACGCCATTTCTAACCTTAGGTCCCTGGGCGGGACCCGGAAAGAAATGTGTAAACGCCAGAAAATAATAATAATAATAATAATACATCGACGCAATTGAACTTATCGCAACAATGTGAACTCCATGATCTTCTCGACGGCTGCGTCATAAGGGCTACTTCAGGACGAATTCTTCTTTTATGTGCCATTTCCCTTCAGGGATTATGCGATCATGGCCCTCCACATCTTCCTGTCCTTTGTAGCTCTTAATACGTTTTGTCTTTCTTTATTTCTACCAAACCCTGTTCTGCCATCCATTTGCTGAAGCCCATCATGTATGCGTTGCTTTCTCCTGTCTCTCTTTCCCTCTATCCGTCCTGTGAGTATCAGATTTTCCATGCCTTCCTTCCTCATTACGAGTCCCAGAAATTCCAACTGCCTCTTCCTGATGTTAAGAATAAGTTTCCTTTTTGTTTCCATTCTCTCCAAAACTTCCTCGTTGTTCACATGTACGGCCCATTGTATCCTTAGCATCCTTCTGTAGAAACTCATTTCTGCTGCTTTGAGTCTCTTCATATTTGAGGAGATTGTCCAGCATTCGTTGCCATACAGGAGAACAGATATCAAGCAACAGTTCCATCCTCTTTGTTTACCAAGAAATACCAGAGCGACATATTGTGTTGAATTCAGAGTTTTTCTTCTACGAAACTGGTTAACCATGATTAGAGATATCCGTCTTCGCTGCTATTTAACTCATAGCTGAAGGGATAATAGAAAGACCCATATCAATCCGAGGGTACTTGCTCGAACGGGAATGTCACGAATCGGTTCGCAGACTTCTCGTTCTGAATTGTTAAGTGTTACAAATA